AGACTTGGGTCTACGCTTATATCTTTACTGCTGTACACTGTCCTTTTGTCATCGACTCGTTTGGGGTTAAAGCGTTTACTTGATCGCTGCTATGAATATTGTGCTGCCAACTACCTGGAGTTAAATTATGAGAAGTCCAAAGTAGTGGTCTTTTCCAACTCCTGGAAGTTTCATGACTGGAAAATCAATGGCCATTCCTTGGAACGGGTCAAAGTCTTTAAATATCTTGGTGTTCATTTTCAATACAAAGCCTCTTGGGTATGTCACCGAAAAACAGCAGATACGGCCAAAGTAAATGCGGCAGCCGTTTCCAAATTTTATTTTTCAGGAAGAGGTAACCAGTATATACCTGCTGCTTTAAAAGCCTTTAATGCTAAAATAGGAGCCCAGTTATTATATGGGGTGCCTATTTGGATCAATACAACTGGAAATCTCATAGAACAGCCTCAGTCCTATTTCCTGAGGAAAATCTTTGGGGTGCCAATGTGTGTCCCCTATGCAGCTTTATGCCTGGAATGTGACCAGAAGATGCTGATAACTAAAGCATGGCTAATTACAATTAAGTATTGGCTTCGCCTTCTTTTCAATTCGGACCCTTCTAGTTACACCTATCAGCTTCTACTGGAATCTAATGACTCTAACTGGATTACCTATATAGAATCCAAAATTAAATCCCTGGATATCACCTTAGATTCCTTACTCCTTACTTCCGAACATGAGGCTTTTTCAATTATAAGAGCCAATCTACTTTGTTCTGAGCTACATTCACTGTATAATGCCGCTAATAAAACCTGTTCACCCCTGTATTTTGGAATATCTCCTAAAGTCGGCCAAGCTGCCTCTTACCTGTACTAACTTCACACCCCCAAACTCCGTAGAGCCCTCTCTTTGGCGAGATTCAATGTATTACCTTCGGCCTTATTATCTGGCCGCTTTCAGGGTGTGCCCTTTTCTGACCGCTGTTGCCCATGCACAAATGATAATATCAAAACGATTTCCCATGTCTTGTTTCAGTGACCCTTCTAACCATGCGCTACGACTGAAATTTCTGAATTTTACTTTGGCTCAACTAGAAGAATATCCTGATTGCCTAAAGATCCTTATTCTTCTTGATAATCCAAACCTTCAGATAATGGAAACTGTTGCTAAATTTCTTTTTCGTGCCATTTCTATTCGCCCTTTATTTAATTGATGGGTATACTTACTTGCAGGGCTTTTTTTGTAGAAAAAGCCCAGCAGGAACTCATTAGCATAATAGGCCACACCTAACAGCAGAAATTCATTAGCATATTAGGCCACACCCCTGACAGCACAGCTCATTAGCTTATTAGGCCACACCCCCATGCCTTCCCTTGGCTTGCCCAGGCAAGCCCCCCCCCGAAGGGAATGCAGTTTAAACTGCCTTCCCTTGGCTTGCCCGGGCACCTGCAGCTGTGGGGAGCCCGGGCAAGCCGGCCCTTGGAGGGGAGGGGAGGCAGTTTAAACTGCCTTTCCTTGGCTTGCCTGGGTGCCCCGCAAGTGCGGGGCACCCGGGCAAGCCGACCCTTGGACAGGCCAGTGGGAGGCATTTAAATGCCTCCCCGATCCTTCCAGGGACCCCCGGCCCTTCTGCCTCGGAGTCATGGGGGGGTCGCTCTCCAGGCCTTCCCTCTGTAGCCACACACGCAGAGGTTTTGGCTGTAGTGGGCGTGGCCAACTCTGAAGCCAGACGGAACTCCGTTCCTGTGCGTTCCTGCCCCAAAATAGCCCTGCTTACTTGGTAATTCCTTGTTTCTGTATTTTGCAGATATTATTCTATGCTGTGGTTGTTTGGTTACATGCCAATAAAGGTAACTGGACTGGTATAAACAATCTGGTTTGAAACAAGCAGAAGAGGATATTTTAAGATTAACCAGAAAGGATGGGGGGGGCATAAACAAACTTTTTAAACTAATGTACTGACGATTCTTTTTTAAAAAGTCTTTTCTTCTCTCTGTTTTTTTCTCTCCCCGAACTCTTCCAGAGAATTGACCAGGAACTTCTTCAACTCTCAGTTTGGAAGCTTGTTTAGGACTGACCAGAACCCGACCTACTTCTTAAGACGCTTGTCTCGCTTTGCTGATATTTACATGGCATCGTTAAGCTGCCTTTTGAACTATGACCCTGATTACACGTTTTTTCCAAGGAGGACTCCTTTGCAGCATGAACTCCCCACCTGGTCAGACCAGCTGTGCACTGGTACATTCAGAATACCGTTTCTGCAAGAGATGATTCAGCTCAAGTAGGGCCCAAGTCGCTCCTCTCCCTTGTTTTTGTAAGGTCAGGCCTTTTAAACCATCTTCTTCACCCCCTAGTTGCTCAGTAAGTTATATTTATTAGAACACAAAACTATCTTAAAAAGGATCCGTCTCTTCAATAATAGCTGCAACAACTCTATTTATTGTATATGCTTATGAAGCATACAGTTTCTAGTTAGTTGAGGTTTCCCTTTTTTTTAAATTATGGGATAGGGCTTTTGGTTGTACTGAGACGAAAATGGATTTGCTTGCCCCTTCACTGTGTATTTACTGGATTTGCACGTAAATCCGTGTTTAATATTGCCCCAGATTTTTGGCTTACAGTGAAGGCACTGCTTTGTGCTTGAGGCATGTCTTGAAATGTATTTTAATTTTCTACAAATGTAGCTGTTTCCTGCCAGTTGTGGGAAGAGATGTTAAAATCCCTCATGTTTTCAAGCCATGTAAAAACAGAAATCAAAACATATTCTATACATATCAAGTCTAAATTCTTTTATTTTGTACTTTAAGCACATGGAATGTGTTTTCTCTCACAGCAAAGGAGATTTCCGCACGGAAGCAGGCTTCTGTGTATATGTGTTGATGCTACTCCATATTTAATGCTCGTGTGTGACCCAGTGAACTGGCCAGGTGCATTTTTTTATGTAAGTGGGGAGGTCTGTCTCCAAATGTGGCTACTAGTTATGCAAAAGCTGGATCAAGGCCAAAATATATAACTGGCACCTAATATGGATTACTAGTGTGTTTGTGAAATATGACCCTTTTTTAGTTTTTATCCTGATGTATGCAAGTGTACCCAGTGTTGAAAAGTGAGTTGCGATCTTTCATAAACAAAGATGCATAAGCATATTTTTAATGCCACCAAGGTTGAAATCAGCAACACTGAAGCATAAGTACCTCACATGGGCCTCATATTTATGTAGGAATAGAAGAAATGCATGTTTCTGGAACTACAGCTCAACAATACATTGCACCATTAAGAACTAGCTGTACTTGTGCACTATACAGAGCCAGTCTGGTGGAATGATTACTGTATGACAAGGGTTGGAGAGATCTAGATTCAAATTCTTACTGAACAATGAAACTCCCAGCCCAGCCAACCTCATAGGGTTGTTGCAAGGATCAAATGAAGGAAGGGCAAAAGCATGTACACTGTTCTGAACTGCTTTCTACTGAATCGGGCCCTTGGTCCACCAAGGCGAGTCTTGTCTACTCAAACTGGCAGTAGCTCTCCCGTGTCTCTGGCCAAGGCTTTTTGCATCACCTACTGCCTGCCTGGTCCTTTTAACTAGAGATGCTGGGCATTGAGCCTGGGACATTCTGCATGACGAGCAGATAGGTGTTCAGCCACTGAGCCATGGCCCCTCCCCTGTGCCACAGCACCTCAGTGGTACAGGAATCCCAGTGTTAAATATTTTGCTGCTGTTGGCCTAGGTCATAGAGAAAATGTGAATGAAGGGTCATAATTCATGGTCTTAACCACTGCAGTTATTCAGTTGCACAAGTCTTGCAATTGTATTTCATAGGAAGAAAGTCCCATTGAACTGTGAACAGGTGGTAGACAGAGCAGTTGTATGGAGGCAATTCCATGTGGCTCCTCACCACACCGGCAGTATATTGTGGCCACTGTTACTTTAATACCTGGCAGGCTGACTTTTCACGGCCGCATGAGTCCTTCTCCATAAGGAAGTTTCACTGCTGTAAAAAGTTACTACACAAGGCAACCAAGTCACAGTGCTTAGGATAGCAACATGGCCTAGTAAAATGCTACAAGATGCTGCTCTGGTATCACATAACTAAAAACGTCTACTAAATACTCATAAGCCTGCAACAGGCTAAATGTGGCTACCCCTTTAGATAATCCGCTTCAGAAAAATGATGGACTTCAACCTCCAACCTCTCACTCTTCGTTTGTTGCACATCTATCCTTCCCTTCCACCAAAAAAACCGTGGTGTAGTGCAGGGGTCATTTCGTAGAAAAAGAGGAGCAGGAGCTCATTAGCATAACTTATTTGCATATGCCACACCCCCTGACATCACCGGAAGTGTGTCAGAAGGCCACACCCCCACGGCTCAGGCTCCACTGGACTGTTTTGGATTGCTAGCTATTGGGGGGGGGAGAACATGCAGACCTGTCCTCGCAGAGGAGGGAGAGCTTGTACCTGAATAAAACTTGGTCTTAAAGGTGCCACTGGACTGTTTTGGATGGGGGGGGCTCTGCAACTTACCTGGCTGCTTCTTGCTCTGACTGAGGGCTGCTGGGAGCAGGGGGTGCATGTGCCCATCCCCTGGGCTCTTTACTGCTGGAGCTCCGCTCCTGTGTGCTCCTGCAGGAAATGACCCCTGGTGTAGTGTGTATGGTTCTTTCCTCCTCCATCTTATTATGATGGGTACATTGACATGGTCCTATGGCTTCTATGTTATCCTCCCAACAAGCCCGCCTAGTAGGTTAGGTTTAGAGAGGGTGTGTGATAAGCCTAAACTCAGTGAGGGAGCTTCTTGGCAGAGGGAGGATTTAAACATGGGTCATTTCAGTCCTATGCTGTTGCCAGTCCCTGTACCCCACTGAGTCTCAATTGGTAAGCCAAAGGAAATCAGTATTACCATAGATTAGGATAAGTTATTGTTTTTAATGGAGGAATAACTCTAATCCTAAACCTGTAACATAGATAACAGTTTCCTTGGATGGGAGAGAGTTTTGGCAGAGATGAATTTAAAAACCACTGATTCAGAATTTTTGTAAAACAATGTACTTTTTCAAGAAGGGGATCTCAGTCCATAGATTTTTGGTGAACTAGCTGTATAACATTCCTCATTCTTTAAACTGTTTTGTAACCATTTTGTATACATTGTTTTCTAAAACCAACCAAAATACAGCAAGAATTCTCACTCTCTTTTTAGGCAGCCATTTGATTCCCAAAATGGTGGTCAGGTAGACGTGTTTCTCAAAGTTTGTAAGTATTTTATGTATATGAAAGATCTGAGGTTGCTTTTCTGATATTGCTGAATTAACTCTTTGTTGCATAATTGAAGAACAATTTGCTGGCATGACTCCATTGTGTTCAAGATTGTAATTCCTTGAAACAGACTTCTAAGTAGGGCTGATCTGACTTTTCTCACCTTAAGTAGCAGTATTGTAGGAGGGAGGGGAGCAACCACCCCCCAAGAATAAAACCTCCCTTTTGTACTGTCTGTAGCTGTTGTTGCCTCTGGTTTGACACCATTTTGCGTGCACACCTAACTAGGGGCTAATGAAGCACATTTAGACTGAGGGCAAGTACTTCTTACAATGGTGATAATGGTTATCCTAGTAGCCAGCTGGGGATCATGTTAGCAATTGAGCAGTTCTGTGGTGGTCCCCCAAAAGGGTGCCTTTGACATAGATAAAAGATTTGCATTAAATTCCTTTCCCCCTCCTCCTCCTCTTCAGTTCAGCCATACTTCTAAGGATTCTGATTTGCTGGCCATGTAGCCTAATGGTGATCGTGTATGCAAGCAGCTTGAGCTTGTCTGTTGGTATAGCTGGGTGCATTGAGTACTGTATGCACTTAGATATATCACTATTGATATGCAATGCATGACTTCCATAGGCTGTTTTAAAACAGCAAGCATTAAAGAAGAATCACCTATGTTCTGTCAAAATACTTACTTCTGGTAATTTGTTACCCTTAAAAAAAAAAACACAAACCTCAGCATTGTAAATCTAGGGGTGGCAGACTCAGGACTGAAAGCTAAAATGGGACTTGATATTGTTCGGAATACATCCAAAGCCCTTCGTATAAGATACTTGATCATTTTTATTTTAGTTCATTTATAACTTGTCTTTCTCCCCAGTGGAGACCCAAAGTGATATACATAGTTCTCCTCCATTTTTATCCTATCAGTAGTTTTTTCAGAGGACTGTTGCAGTAACACTTCTTAAAACATAGGATCTGCCAGAAATGTGGAGTTAGCGTATAACCCGGGGTCCACAAACGTTTTAAGCCTGTGGGCACTTTTGGAATTCTGATACAACATGGTGGGCACAGCCACAAAATGGCTACTGCAGGAGGTGAAGCTAGCTACCAATTGGTTGCCCCAGCTTACCTTCAGTCACACAGTGAGGAACCTTGTGCCATGGTGGCAGCTACTGCCAAAGCAATATTTTAAAAAATCTGCACAACCAATCAAAAGCCTTGCTGGGCAAAAGCCTCAACTGGCCCACCCACTCCCTAAAAGCACTTGACAGGGGCCAGAAGACTTGGTGGATGCCATAGCGCCCTCGGGCACCACGTTGGGGACCCCAGGCATATCCTGTCCAATGGTGTTCAATGTGTGCTCCTGCTTACCCACCAGTGATTTTTGAACTGCCTTGGAGAAAGGTTCTTCTGTTGCAGAATAAAAAATAAACTTTGTGTTCTCTGGTGCTGATCACTGCTTTAATGTTAGCACACTGTACAGTAAAAATGGATTTGCATGATAAGTGATGTTTTGTTGTTATGGGGGGAATACCCTTGCACAAAAAGCAGCAAAAACTAACATTAATTGGTGTTTGCGCTCTGATAATAACTCTTGGACATTGTAATCAAGTTTTGAAACTGTTAATGTCCGTAATTTCTTTATTGTGCTATGAAGATTCTTGTCTGTGTATTTTTTGAACACCAAAAAATGAGGCAAACAGCAGACGTCTTGACAAACCGAAGGCTAAAGATATGAATGTATAGGAGGGAATGTATTGTCAAGCAAAAATAGCGCTCTTTTTGTATTAACGTTTTCATGGTATAAGTGCACAATAATAAAATGTCTTATCTACTGTTTAGGCTTAAGTGGTATGGGAGTCATAATACACGGTGTGCATTGAAACAGGAGAACTACCTGGTCAGTTAAATAAAGTCGCATTGGGCTCATAACACACAGTTGAAATTCCAATGGAATTTAATGTATGGGGTTTCTTTGTTTTTGTTTTGCAGTCAAGTCACAGCTGACTTATAGCGACCCCTAGTGGGGTTTTCAAGGCAAGAGACATTCAGAGGTGGTTTGCCACTGCCTGCCTCCCCATGGCAACCCCAGACTTCCATGGTGGTCTCCCATCCCAGCGCCAGTCCTGCTTAACGCCCAAGATCACCTTTCAAAACTTTGTTGTGTCCACAGAAGAAAAGGCACGGTTTAGTACTGTTTCTAGTGTATGGGTGAGGGGGTAGCAGGAAAACTAAATACTAGCGACTTTAAAGTAGTTTCTGTGGGTCAAAAACACTTTACAAATGATGTGGCACTTGGGAGTGCAGTCTTTGATTCTAAGAACGTAAGTAGCTGAGTTGGTTCATGGTAAAACCCAGAAACAAAAGCCATGCAGTGTCTTTCACCGCAGCCAATCAAAATGAAAGCTTGCACACTTTCAGGTTCTCCAAAAATCTTCATCAGGTTGGATGCTGAAAGATAACCCCTGCCCCCTTACTTTGCTTTTAAGCCTGCACACTCTGGAAGTATAGAATCCTCCCTCCAGTACATATGTGCTCCGAAGCCCTCATAGTGGCACAAGACTCCTATGACTCTGTCCCAAAGAAGACGTTTCTGAAGCTGTTACTTCCCTGACTTGTTGCCTTTATGCCAAGTTAAAGCTTTAAGGGGATCATCTTTGAGTTCCTTGTTAGTGAGAGTATTTATAATGTGGATAAGCTTTCATGGAAAAAGCTTGCCTGTTA